AATTGGTTCAATCGTCCCATAATTAGTAGAATGATGTAGAATTGCGAGTTTATCTTTAATTAACATTAAGCTTTATTCGTGCTAGCACCTCTGGACAATCTACGACACCATTAACTATTTTAAGCTGAAAATATGAATAAAAAATTTCCCTGTCGCGTGTCAATGGTCAACGTAAGCATTAGTTATTGAAGCATTCTGACTCAGACCCATTTTAATAGCTGCCTGTCTTAAAAATTTACTCTGCACTCCTTCAGTGGAGCTAATAACACCAATTAAATTTATACTATCGCGATGCGCAAAACAGCAATTAGACTGGTCCGTTCAGTAGTTTATAACACTTGTTCACCTGTTGGAGGATAATATCCTTATTAAAGTACAAAATCGGAGAATGATGTTCCGTTTCTCTATATACAGGTAAACTTCACCTTGACATGGATTGATTGCAGCTACGTTTTGTGCCACAAAAATTAAAATTCCAAAAAAACTATTTTGCAGTTGTGTACACTGATTCACTGAGAAAACGTGGTCGGATAAACAGTTTTTATTGATATTTTTCCTTGCCGTAAGGAATTTTTTAATCATTCTAGGTAACTAACTATCCGGCTTAATCAAACTGAATGTTCTGGAAGCAGTTATATAAAATTAATATATTATTAAACTGCTTAATTAGTTTAGATAACTTAGTTTATACAGGGTGGCCCAACAAAAATGATGCCCCCTCATTTGTGACTCTCCTGGAATATTTTGGAAAAAACGCTAGGTCACGTCAATTTTGCTTTCTAGGGGAACATTTTTTTATCTATAGCAGTGCAATACAGGGTGATTTAAAAATAAGATATTGCGTTACAATTTAGATCTTTAAATGGAAATCCCCATTTTTTTAATTTTTAGATTCTCTATGAAATTTTTAGTAACTTTTGTATAATAAAGTTCATACTTATCTTCAATCGTTGTGAAGCTATTTGAGTTTATGATACAATTCTAGAAAACACTGATCAACAGCCAAAAAATATCCTAAACAAAATCAACAAAATATTACTATTTTTAATGTGCTAAAACCGGAATGAAACTTATTTTTTCAATATTAGTTCAAGTTTTAGAGATACGGTAATTATATGTGTTCCTGCTGTGACAGTGTTAATATACTGTAATTCACAAGAATGCACGTGCTACATTTTTATATTCGGCAAGGAAAGATAATGTATTCGGCATGATTGCGTTACGTTATACATACGTGTACATTATATTGTTTTATATTAGCCATTTTTTCCTCAGTTGGCTGACAGCGTTCATGCAAGATGTCTCGAAAGTGTGTAAACAATCCAGATCAGTTTTGTTACATGTGTCGTGATGTGACTTTTGCGTCTCAGAGACGGTCTATTACTCCACTAATAACAAAGGCATATCAGCTTTATTTCGGTTGTAAACTAGGTGATCAAGACAAACAGTGGGCACCCCACATCTGCTGTAATACATGTGCTTCAAGTCTGAGGAGCTGGTTAAATGGCAAAAAACGGTCTATGCGCTTTGCTGTCCCAATGGTTTGGAGAGAGCCTACAAATCATATTAATGATTGTTACTTTTGCATGGTACCTTGTGTTGGACAAGCCACAGGTATGTCCAGGAAAAAAAAATCGGTTATTAACTACCCAAACATACCATCTACGATGAGACCTGTGCCTCACAGTGACGAAAATCCTATTCCAAAACCCCCAGAATCCTACACTTCACAAATCAGATCATGGCGATCGGTGATTCGTCAGGAAGAAGATATGCCATCAACGTCAAGAGATCCTGATTTTATACCGAGCACGTCATGCCACCAACCGCACAAAATAACACAGTCAGAATTAAATGATCTTGTAAGAGATTTAGAACTTCCAAAAGAGTTACTTGGATGAAGACTGCAGCAGTGGAACTTGTTAGAAGACGATGTTTCGGTATGTGTTTTTCGTAAACGCCACAAAGACTTAGAACCATTTTTCAATATGGAGAATAACTTGGTTTTCTGCAGTAACATTAACGGCTTACTGGCGGCTTTAAATATAAACTATAACCCAGAAGAATGGAGATTGTTTATAGACAGTTCAACATTGAGTTCAAAGGCAGTGTTATTGCATATTGGAAATATTTTACCATCTCTTCCTGTAGGGTATGCAGTTCACATGAAAGAATCATATGACAATATGAAGTACCTATTGACATGCATAAAATCCGATGAGCACCAATGGCATATTTGTGGCGATTTGAAAGTTGTTGCACTTTTACTTGGGCTGCAGCTAGGCTAGACAAAGTTTTGCTGTTTTTGTGTGAATGGGACAGTCGGGCAAAGGCACTTCATTACACCAGACAAAACTGGCCTGTTCGTCAATTCCTAGAGCTAGGTCAAAAAAAATGTACAGCATATGCCATTAGTAGATTCGAAAAAAAAATTATTACCACCACTGCATATCAAGTTGGGCCTAATGAAAAACTTTGTCACGGCATTAGATAGAGATGGGTCAGCTTTTCAATACCTGCGTCAGAAATTTCCAAGACTAAGTGAGGGAGGCAAAGGTTAAAGAAGGTATTTTTGTTGGGCCACAGATTCGAAATATTTTGAAAGATTCACAGTTTGAAAACACTTTAACAGGTATTGAAAAAACTGCTTGGAATGATTTCCGTCTGGTGGTCACTAATTTCTTGGGAAATAGAAAAGCTGACAACTATAAAACCCTTGTCAAAAATATGCTGTCATCGTATCAAAAGATGGGCTATAATATGTCTCTTACGATACATTTCCTACACTCACACCTGGACTTTTTTCCTGACAATTGCGGAGCCGTAAGTGATGAGCACGGCGAACGTTTTCATCAGGATATTTCAACAAAAAAGGTACCAGGGAAAGTGGAATCCTTCCATGCTTGCAGACTACTGTTGGACTCTTGGTAGAGATGCTCCAGAAACGATCCATAAAAGAACAGCAAAAAGACAGCGCATATAGTGATTCTTATAAGTATATGAATCTTGTTACTTTTTTTAATATATCCTTAAAAATAAAAAGTTTTTTTTCTAAACCGCAACTAATTTTTTTATTTCATTGTCATTTTTGGATTCAGCGCCCCAAAATTAACAAAGAAGTGCACTTTTCCCACAAGATACAATTAAAAAACTAAAATTTGTTGTCCAGTGAAATCTGATGATAAGGGATTATGTCCTAAAAATAAAACTCAACAAAAAACAACTTACAGTTTACACGTACATTGAAGTTGAAGTAAAAATTAATTTGCTATAAAGAGGTAGGTCAATGTGGTAATAAGTGCAGAAGGTGGTGTCCATTTACCTCCATGCAATAATAAAGATTTTGTTCGAGACTATTCCTCACATTTTCAAGCATGTCTTGAGTTATTTGTCTACATCTTGGATGGAATCTGGAGTCGTACTGAAAAGTTTACTTTTCAAATGCTCCCAAACAAAGTAATCTAAAGGACTTAGGTCCAAAGATATCGGCGGCCACGATGGGGCCTCGTCTGCTGCTCGACTGATTCGGGAAATGAATGTCCAAAACTATCGTACTGGAGCCACATAGTGCAGCGGTGAACCATGTTGTTGGAAATGAATGTGATTTTCTATTATTTCGGAAATTCGTAGCTCAATTGTATACTCAGTGACATTTGAAGTGTTACACCCAGAAAAAATAATTTCTTCAACTTGTTTCTTTGGAAACATAATAAATAATGTCAACGTTTTATCTTTATTATTGTTTGCCTTTGTTAAAATGTTATCTCTTAGTTTTATACCAGGAGAGTCACAAGTGGGGGTGCGACCTTTTCGTTGGGCCACCCTGTATAGAAAAGGTACATTTAAAACAATTAGAAATTTTAATAAAATCAATTAAACTGTTTATTTGATTAGCGGACTCAGGAGGATTCGGCGCTTCATTCGCGAATGATCGGGAGTATGCGACAGGCGCAGTACAGGTGACACGCTTCGAACTCCTCAGTTTCATTTGTGATTTTTGTGTCCACAGCTTCATATCCGAATGTTGCCGTTGTCGATGTAGTAGCTGTGAACTGGATCAATTATTGTGATCAAGTGAAATACTCGAGTATTAGGCTTTAGTGGCCCATAGCGATGGTTATATTTATCGCTCCCATTGAATTACATACTCTGTATAAGAGAGTCACTGCTTACATGACGGAATGGGAAGAACATGGAAACTCATTTATGCAGCCATATTTCGGCCAATGAGGGGCATTTATACCAAATATATTGTTCCTCAAATACCACGGCAAGTGGCTACAACCGGTCGTGTGGTTGTGGTCAGATGTCGACTTGAAAATTCGAGGTCTTCTGGCCATTATACTACAATGTGTGGGTTGGCTCTTGTTGGTGACTTCGTCTGCCGTTTTGTTAACTCTCCATCTTCGTTTCCCCAGGTTACACCCGTATCCGGATATATGAGCATGCGTGTCTACTTTTGTAGTTGCATATGTGTATTCATTTCGGGCCTGATAAAGCCAACCAGCAGAAATACGTATTACCCGGGTTACCTATCCTATTTTCTACTCGAATCCACGTCCCTTCTTTTTACGGATTTTGCCCATTAATTTTTCTATTTGTTGTTTTGTATTCCAAATATTATCAAAAAATTCATTAAAGCTGGGCAAACACGTTTACCTACACTATTTAAACAAATTTAATAAGCATAATTACATTCATTTAGTTGGAGCAGATTATAATGGTTCATTAATTTTAAATAAATTGGTGCACTTAATCTAAGTAGACGGTTTAATAAATGTAATTAAACGATTGCGTTTTGATTTAATTAGACTAGTTACTTAGATTCAAGTGAGCTGGTTTAGAAATCGGAGTTTGAATAAGGTTTGATTCAATTTTTTCTCAGTGTTGTATTGAGTTTGACAGCCTACTTCATTGAGTTTTAGTATTCTATTACGAGTGAAAATGTTACATTTTCATATTATTTCTTAATAAACATGTAAAGCTGACAATCAAATTACCAAAATCCTGTTATCAGACTGAATCATATTTTTTCTCTCTACATAATCCATGCCTCTTTGTAGTCTGTGACACAAATGCCGAGTAATGGCTAGTTGAAACCCTGCACAAAGGTTGTGGATGCCAGGAATCACACCATCTGCAAGAATATCTGTAATGCAAAAGATGTGAGCATTAGAATAGCCAGAGTATATCTACTACCAAAATCGGCTACTTCGACAGTGTGACAACTGTAAAAGTATCTCAATTCGGTTTAACAGTTGAGGCCGCCATCACGGTGACCGGTAGATGCTGGCTCGATACATTCGCCTTTAACTGCTTACTAGGGTGTCCGTACAGCAGAATCGAGTTTGCCATCCCTGCCAAAATCCTGAGATTCGCACTGCTGTGGATTCGGTTAGATGGCGTACCTTGTCAGTGGTGCCACACACCCTGATACTAATTGCATTTTGGCTCCAAATCTCGGAATCATTAACTCTAACAGCTGAAGAAGTTAGCTTCTGTCTGCCGAAAAGTATAACTACCTCCGTCAGGAGCCAATTTCAAGTCATTCGAGCACCTTCCCACTTCAGTTGGCCCACCTCAAGGTTTGTACCAAAATATGCCTTTATAAACTAAACATGACGAAACTATTTACTTCTAAAACAATTTATTTTCTCAAAAACATTTTAGATACACTCTAGTCGTAAAAAATACATATTTGAAATCACTTAGACCTATAACTAATAGAACATCTGAAGAAATAAACAATGTGCGAATAAATGCGCGAAGTTAACAAAGCAACAATTGAAAGATTACCATTAGGTAACATCACCTTTATTTTTATTACGGCTGAAATTCTTTGGGGCATAGTGTTAGTCAAGTTTTGGCAAAAATTTGGTGTAAAACAATCCCATAGTTCTTGAAGCTTTTGTCTCAGTTCGGTGATTATACGAGCAGGATGTTGTCGTAGAACCTTTTTCATCTCGTGCCACAAAGTTTCAATATGTGACAGACCTGGACTGCTAGAAACCCATTTCAAAAGTGGTACATTATTTTCTTCCATCCATTTTATAGCCTTTTTTGAGATATGGCACGCTGCACCATCTTGCTGAAACGCAAAATCTTGGCCGGATGTCAAACATTCTTCCATCACTGGTAAAAGCGATTCTTCTAAAATTGCATCCACATTTCCATCAATAAAATGAAGTTTTCCTACTCATTTTGATGACATACTGCCACAGACTATAATTGATGCTGGAAATTTCACTTTTCTCTTCAGACAGTCAACATAGAATGCTTCAGTTTTTTTGCGAATAACTCTACTGCGACTGTCACCAACACAAACTTCGAATCGGGACTCATCACTCCATTGTATTGCACACCATTCACTTCACTTTTTTTTATAAGAAAACTTACCTTGCAAGTGCTAAATCCCAGTTTGTGGGCCTCTCTATGAGATGTGGACCTGGAAATTCTTCTTCCAACAGCGTCACTCCACAGAGCACTTAATTGTAAATAATTGGCACGCCTGTTTTTGGGTATGATAGAAATCGCTAGAACATAGTGTTACAACGTTTCAGAGATTCCTGTTCATTTTCATACATTATTTGTAAGCTGTATGCGGTAAACGGTTGTAAATTGTGGCATGTTTTGTGTCAGTGAAATACCTATTAAGAAGCTGCTGATCCCGGTATTATTATGCACCTGTTAGACATAATAAGTACTACATGTTTCCTACATCCTACATCTGCCATGGAAACAGAAATATGATAGATTTATTTTATTTAGTTTGATTTATCGTACCTAAGTGACTCGACTCCGCCTTTTCAAACGACTTGACTGACACCTTTCCTTTGAAACCTACACCGAAAGCGTAGGAAGTATAGAGTCAATCTACTTGACGCCATTTTTTTAATAAAGAACGAAAAATCCCAAGAGGCACCCTTCAAGTCCAAGTACTTTAGAATATAGAATCAATATGGGCTATTACATAAAAGAACCTAAAAAACATCAAAAGTGTCCATCTATGAGTCAACGACATGACACGCTCAATGACCATGCTGCAAGCTGCAGGTCACTTCCCCATCATGCTTTGTTAGTTGTAGAATGCCGGGATAGGTTATTATTATTATTATTATTATTAAACAACAAATTTGAGTTGAGTACAAGTACTATAAACTCAAACACAAAAATAGATAATAGTGTACAGACAAAAGAAATATAACAATTTGACAATCTTAGCACTACTGAAGTAGACATATACAGAATGGGAACAATATGTTAAGCACTGCGGTGTCTATCGTAATTGTTTTTGAAACTGTTGACGGATCCCGAGTTCACTACATAAGATGGAAGACTGTTCCATGCATCGAAGACACGGTTTGAGATGAAGCGCTGACGAGTAGAGGTTCTAAAAGCTTCCTTCTGCAATTTGAAGTTATGGCCTCTGAGACTGTTCGTTGCCAGACGAAACAGATGCGACATGTCCACACCAAACAAATTATGCAGTGCTCTGAAAGTGATGATGAGATCTCCTCGTACTCTTCTATCAGCAAAAGCAGGCAGGTTATATAGCTCGAGGCGGTCTTCATAACTTGGCCTACGTGTGCCATATGGCATACGTGTTGCACGACGCTGAACGGCCTCTAATAAGCTGCTATCGCGAACAAGGTTTGAATTCCATACCGGACCAGCAAACTCCAGTAGGGGTCGTACGAAAGTTGTGTATAAAAAGGAGGAGGTACTAACGGTGCAACCGCTAAATGACCTTTCCATCATATATAGCAACCGCTTTGCCTTAGAGGTTATGTTCTGAATGTGCTCCGACCAGGTGAGCCGGCCATTAACTGTCAGACCAAGATCTGTGTGATGAAGAACAGACTCTAAGGTATGTTTGCCAATCTTATATGTTAAGTTAGGATTATTCTTTCCCAGGTGGAGAACGTAGCATTTCGATAGATTTAAAGGCAGGAGCCAGAGTTCTGACCACTTTCTGATCAGCTTGAGGTCTTCTTGAAGCCCAGATGAGTTTATGACAGTGTTATAGACTTTAGTATCATCTGCATAGATGGAACACATAGAATAAAGTCGGGTGGGAAGGTCGCTTGTATAAAGAAGAAAGGTTATAGACTATATCTCTGAGGAAATGTGTGATTGAGTAACAGAGTAGCAAGATCATATCTGATGATTGTGTGTATTGGTCTGCATGAGTATAAAATCAGTTACATTTGCTATGTAAGCAAATTATTACTGGATACGCTGCCCATTATTTGCCGTTTCTGAAGAGAGGTTATGTTCAAAGTTGTTCAGTACGACTTTCCCCGTTTGTTTGCGTTATCAAAAAATTTGAGAAGCATTACGGGAAATCAGCACCGCATCCGCGTTGTGTGCAATATTAAGCCACGTCACAGAAAATGGAATGACGCATCACATACAAAACATTTTTGCACTGTCTCACATCTAGGCGCTGATTTGTATTTTCTACTTGAGATCGTAAAATAAATTTCAATAAAATTTAAATGACCGAAAATAAAAGTTAATCTGAAATGTTATAACTTTTTCACGTTTCATAAATATTCCTGTATTTACCATATTTGCTCAACTGTTAGTTTTAATATACTTCACCCAGGGATCTCCTTTTCTGATCCCTCTCTTTTTTCAAGACCAGCAAATTTGCATATGTAATTTGCAGGTTGAATAAGAAAACCAATTTCAACTTTGCATACATCTCAAGAAAGTGTATTTGAGAGAAGAAACCAATGGATTTTTTTATACTCCAGCTACCACGAAGGCCTAAACACACATGGGGTACCGTGGGGCTATAGGGGGATGCAAGGAAAAAGAGGGGACGCCACACGAACTCTAGCGAGGGAGCACGTGTGCATGCACCATGCTCACATTCTGGCCCCGCCTACGAGATCTGCCGGGTGGTACATTCATAGCCAAGAGAAAAAATTCTCTTGGGACGGGATTCGCCCCCTGGCAGCGCACGGCGCCGGCGACTGATCAAGAGACGAAACGTCTACCACTGCGGCCACCACTGCTGTCTAAATTATCATCAACACAAATTATTAGCACACAAATCCTCACTATTGATCTATGCTTTGCCGTCTCCTTCAAGCTATAGTATACAACTTGCAGCTTAGACCTCCAATAATGCCATCTACGAAGCAGATGTTACATTACACCAGAGCCAAACATTGATAGCTGAAGCATCATGACGTTTAGGCAACATGTACAGCTACGGAACGAGCACACAGCACGTGTACAAGAGCTAGTGCTAAGTTGGCATCTTGTAGAAAAACCTACATAATTTCACAAAAAACCTATATAATTTTAAAAAACGACAATGTCTCTTTGCAAGATACGTAATACACCCTGCCGGACAAGTTTAAATAACCTCATTCAGCGAAACTGGGAATTTCTAGAAAAATATTTATAAACTTTTTTCATACCTTTATGAGGTGAATCGGCGCTTAAATCTTCCCGTATTGCAATATCTAATAGCACAGAGTCCTAGATAGTCCGTGCAAAATGAACAGTGTAATACATACCTTTTTCCCTTTCTTCTCGTATCAGTTGCCTCTGCAGTTGATTTTTGAGCCCAGCAAAGCTGAAGTTGCAATTCTTATATTGCAACAAAGGTGTGGTAAAACTGTATTGCAAAGGATTGTCTGCTTTCTGTGCGGCTAATTCGAAAGCTTGTCCACCCGACAGGGTAGAATAGTCTGGCAAATTTTTCAGTTTCATTCTTCTGGCCATCTATAACCCAAGAAATAATTCAATGGGAAATTGTATACATGGTGTGCTGAATGGGGGCAAAATTGAATATTAAGGTAATCAACAAAATACCGCTTAGAAAGAGTCGAAATTCAAAGTACTTCCGGGGAAAGATGGAAAAATGGAATTTTTCCAACATCGTTTTAATTTTTTCCTGACTTTATTTGTGATGGGATTTTAAAATAAATTGCCCACTAACATTGCCACTTTTTCTTGTCTACAAGACGATATAATTAGAATTCGACTATGATGTTGAGGACGCCATATTGGATTTTTGCACTGATGAATAGAGTTTTGAATTCTAATTTCAAAAATGTATAATATGTCATAAAATGACATAGCCAACCATTAGTTATTAAAAAAAAAACAGAATTTCCTAGTAGGTCTTGAAATTATCAGATTTTATTATACACCTCAACTGTCCCCATTAATCAGTCTGTCCGCTGATGAAAACTGCATGAAAATCAATTCGGAAATTTTCGAGTTGATCGTGTTCAGTCAGTTACACAGACAGGCGTGATATCCTTTAATTTTTTTCCATTTGACTCGAACAACTCAAAAACTAAATATTGCGATTGGGGAACGATAACCCTTCGGTCAAACTTTGCATTTGAAAATTAGTAGGGAAACTATATATATATGGATTTCAAAACATAATTCTTATTCGACAAATAAAACGCTGATTTACTTGTATCTTATATTTCTTAGATATTTATCATTAAAAGAACGTTATTTACCAAATTTTCTTTTCAAAGTTTTCTTTTTACAGTCAGTGTTCTTGTACGCAACGTAATAAAAATTGTTTTTGACTGCTCTGTCGGCCGTATCGTTAACTGCTCCTAGTGTTTGCATCTTATTCTTAGCGTGTTGAAAATAATTTTATGTTGCCATGAAATTGGACATTCGTCGAGAAAACTGTCATCAATTTTGAGTCGACTGAACAGAGACTTGCTTTGATTGAAACAAAGTTATCGATATTTTTCTCTGAAATGAAAAATGAAGAATAGCTACCATCTAATGAGTTTGTCCATCTGATCACAGACAGTCAACCATGGACAGAGTTTTGAGCTTTTCGGCAACTCATTAGCATTGAATAGGCTTGGCCTCAGGTCAGGACAATGAACGAATATATAGCAACTATCTGAGGTATAAGATCTATCAAAACAAGACAGTAAGGTGCCATCTATTGCCAGAATCGCAGTTTATGCTGGCTTGTTTCAACAGTTAGCATATTACATCGAAGCAGTAAAAGAAGACAAAGGAAACTTTATCCGTCAGCCTTACCATAAACTGGGCCAGAAAGTTTTTCTTTATATGGGATGTAGCGTTTACCATTTGCTGATGGACTTTATTTGGTTAAATTAGCAGCAATTTTTACTTGAGTTTCCTCATCTACGTCGGTGTCAAACAGAGATACGACAGAGACCTCATCTGTCAAATATCATAAATGTTGGCAAAACTTTTGTAAAGCTGCTTTTGAAATGGTTTTTTCAATTCTTCTGTAAGCCTTCATTGCCTTTAAAAAGCATAAATCCTGGTTAGGTGCTTTTATCGCTAAAGTGCATTGCAACCACTGCTTCAGGTATGTCGTCACGATGAACAGTCAGATATCTAACAGAGCTACCTTATCCTTATTAGAAAGTTTGAGCTGGGAACTTAGTAACGCTATTTTTAATGAATAGATCGCTCTTGCCATCCATCAAGCTTGATGAACGGCGCCTGGCGGTCGAATCTTGAATTTTTTCTATGTGTATCCGTCAATGAATATTATTGAAAGTTCTACTAATTCTCGATAGTCGTCTCCATCAACTTCTTTGGTCAGTTCATGTCGTTAAAATTCTAGCAGCTTGTCAGTCTCTGAAATATTCAGGCATGTCAGCTTTTCAATACCAATCTGTATTTTCATGGGATTCACTTTCCTAGCTCTCGCGAAACTTTTTAAACATTGGAATGTCAGGGCTTGTAGTCACTTGGTCGATCTTTTTAACACCAATTCGTAGACTTGATGGCGGCAAGCAAAAATAAGCATTACTTTATTAAGTTTCTGTTCGAGAAGCAAGCCCCACCGTTAATGCTTGTTTGTTGTATCTTAAGCAGTAGTATTACAACAGAGAATTTGTACTTTATCTTCAAGATTCCAGTCTGAAGAGTTATTCAATTCAATTATTTGAATAGAGGACTTGCTTTTAGGAGACTCGTCAGTATTATGCCCGAGTTCCTCAATGGTTGCTAAAATAACATAAACAGCATTTCTCATACTTAACTGACACCTACATATCTAATACTGAGTTGGGATGGGCCAAGTTTCTAGTAAATCCATCACGGAATCTGAAGACGAATTTTCTTGCACTGGTTCGTAAGGTGATGTTGAAGGAGTTAGGGAAGCAAGATATTTAACTCGCAGCTTTTGTTCTTCGGTGTTCCTAAGACGCACCTTTTTTCTTTTATGGCTAATTTCTTGTCCACCCCAGCTAAATTACCGGGTCGACCTGGCTCTCTGCCGCTGCAAGAAGATCCTGTCTTCGTTTATTTTCATCAATTGAAGGGCACTTCTTGGGTTTTGCTTGCATTTTTTTGCAAATATCTCCAAACCGGGTAAAAGGTAACTAGTTGCTTAACACAGGTTGAGATTTAGTTGGTATACGTGCCTTTTCCCAGTAAATAATGCACTCACGAATAGTAAGATGGCGCTCTCACTGACACTTAATTTCACTTTCCGGATATTATAGAACAAAACTGCTAGTACTTGTCCATTAGAGGGAAGTATTAAACCGGTAATTTGATGCTTTACGTCCCCTATTAAAAATATTTCTTTTTTAGAACTGCGTAATTCCTTCGACATGTTGACTGAACGAAAACAGTGCATTTACTAACAGAACAAACGAGCACTGCAATACGTTAGCTAGTTCCAATGCAGCTCGGCACGGGTTATCCTGGTTCTAGGTACATAAAACTTTGTTTACAATTGTTTTAACATTGTTCAAGCAAAATTATGCATTTGAAAAAAAGAACTTTCATTTTTTTTTGGGACATCCTAATGTTTAGTTGAAGAGGTAAATTGGATCTGACCTTATCAAAAGCTTCTCCAGGGGCGTCGTCCAAACTCTCACCGAGCAGCAAGAATCTGTCCACTTTCTCTGCGACAGCCAGAAGGCAGTGACCCCCACTGATGAGTAATACCAGAAAAGGAAACGTCACGGTGCTGTCATGCATCCTGGCAGTCAATGTATGAGCTTCCATGTGATGGATCGGGATGAAAGGTTTGTTGTACTTCTTGCATAGGTACTTTCCATACCGCATGCCTATCATCAGTGAGAGAGGGAGACCTGCAACAAGAAAAAGAATTTATTTTTTAGATATCTTGTATTTCACTGAAATCAACACATGTTAAGCTGAACATCGTACTAGGTGATTAGGTACAAAAAATAAGGTAAAACACATTGAGTGTGCCTGTTTTCACATCCTACGCCACTGCCGTGGAAGTATTGTAATCGAGACAAATTTCGGAAGTAAGATATGCTATGACATACATCACGAAAAACCATGTCACTCAAATTATAGAAGGGTCAAGGAAAGTACCAGTCGGATTTTGAAAAAATTCTCATACAAGGTAACTACTATACCAAGGACAAATAGGCTTTACAGTTTTTTAAATCGATCCAGTGGCGCTGGAGCTAGAGGCAAAAAAGTACCAAAATAAAAATCGCTCAAACTTCGTTTTTTTGATGTTTCAGATGATTCCGGTCATTTTTGAATAGAAATTTAAGCGGTGTACAATTGGGCAGTGGGGATATAGTGGTATACTTATAGACCTCCACCCGTGGTAAGTCTACGCAGACTTTTAGACATATTTCACTCATCATATTATATTTCCCATATCAGCGGAAACACGCTATAGTTGTTCCGCTACCTAAGTGATCTCATCCTACTAACTATGGTCAACTGCGACCCTTCAGTTTAAGGTCTATTTTACTTTTTTTTATATACATATACTCCAACTACCACGAAGGCCTAAGGCCTAAGCACCCATTGGGTACCGTGGGGCTATAGGGGGATACATGGGAAAGGGGGGAACGCCACACGGACTCTGGCGAGGAACACGTGTGCATGCAACATGCACACATTCTGGCTCCGCCTACGAGATCGGCCGGGTGGTACCTCCGCGTTCGACAGTCAGAGACCATCTACCACCTACGGACAATCACAACATCCATAGCCAAGATAAAAATTTCTCCTGGGACGGGACTCGGACCCGCACAGCGCACGGCGATCGAAGAGTCTACTACTGCGGCCACCGCTGCTGCCTCTCAAAAGCCTTTCTCAAAAGTATTGGAACGCACCTATTTATATTCTAACAAAACTATTCCATCTAAACAATCTATTCATTTAGAAGTAATGGCTTGAAAACAGCTAATAATAAAATTAATCAAGGTCTTGCCCAAATTGAAAAGTTTAGTAGTAGTCATAATCTTCATTTGAACCGTTTAAAGACAAATATGTTGGTATCCGCAGATTAAACAAAAATGACTGCTTTAAAAAAGAACATACACATAAATCTAAAAGGTAATAAAATAGTACATGTGGATCATTCAAAGAATCTAGGTATTATAATGGATGATGTCTTAAAATCTGACGAAAACGTAAACCATCTAATTTCTTACTGCTATTCTCAGAGTTTTATTTGCAAAGAAAGCTATAGAACATAAATCTGCGAGAAAGCAATTGTGTGAATCTTTTTTGTTTTCAAAAATGGCATATTGCTTAGTGATGTACTATCCCTATTTAGATATTAGAACAAGAAATCGCAATCAAAGTGTTATGAATACATGTTGCAGAGTTGTATATGATCTTAGAAAATATATTCATATATCAAAGGCCATTAATGACCTCGAATGGATGAAAATTGATGAAATGGAGAAATACCAGCTCCTAAGTCTGACCCATAGAGCTTTTTATTCAAAAACACCGTTACGTATCTACCTGGTGGTATCAAGAGCTGTAAGGGTTATTAAACCGGCAGCCTCTTGGTTAACTTCAGATCTTCAGCTTATGATAAAAAAGAGCAAAGCTCTAACCGAGATCAAAATTAGTAAAACTCAAGAATCTTGGAATAAATATAAACAACTGTGTAATGCAACACTAGCTTAAATTAGAACTAAAAAACGAGCTTCTTTATCATTTATTCGGGATCAAAACGACACAAGGCATTGAAATCAATGTGATTGCAAAGTTCGAGAAATAATGGAATTTCTCCGCATTTAAAACATCCAACAGAAATAAACAACTATTTTTGTTCAGTTTTTGATAAAAATACGTCTCCGAAGAAAAAATTCAATACTATTTAAATCATAAGTTTAGTTATCCAGATCTATCTTCATTATTACATTGAAATTGAATGCCTTGGGAACTGATGGTGTTTCTCTCAGAATGGTAAAATTATGTTACCCCACAATCTCTTTACACATCGTGCTTATAATAAATTATTGTTTATAAAGAAGTGTATTTCCAAATTTATGGAAAAAAGCTCTGATTTTACCACTATCGAAAATTAGCAGTGCAAACTCATATACAGACTTACGGCCCGTAAGTATTTCACCTACACTTTCAAAATTATACTAAGTGACATATAAATCCGAACACCCAGTTTAAATGGTTTTATTTTAATAAAATTTTGTATAAGTACTTAATGAAGCATAATAAGTAAATGATAAAAATTTCAAAATGATTGCACTGCTTTAAAGCCCTTTGACCTTTAATAATGTGTGGATGCACCCTGATGTGCTAAGCATTCTCCAACGTGCCAGTGCTTCTAGAGTCTGAGGAGGACGTTGCAAATTGAGCAATCTCCTACCCATCATATCCCACACGTGCTCAATTGGGGATAAGTCGGGAGATCTTGGTGGCCATGGTAACAATGTGACATCATTATGTTGAAAGAAGTCTATTGTGACTCTTGCAACATGTGGTCGGGCATTATCTTGTTGGAAAGTTGGATCTGCCAGGGTGTCAAGATAGGGTAAAAGAAGGGGTTCTAGAACGTGGATATAACGCTGCGCGTTCATGTTACCTCTGATGAAGATTAAAGGTGACCTGGAACCATAAGCTATAGCACCCCAAACCTTAACTCCAACAGTGTGATGAACATGTCTTTCAACAAAAAACTGTGGATTCCTCCTTTCACCACGTCGCCTTCTAACCCTGGCACGACCATCGTGCATGCCTAAACAAAATCGAGACTCGTCACTAAAGAAAATACTGTTCCATTCCTGATCCCAGAGTGACCGTTGTCTGCACCACTCAAGGCGATTACGTCGGTGTTCTCGAGTTAAAGGGAGGACCCAGTGTGGCCGGTATGAAAACAAGCCAAAACTTCTCATTCGTCGGTAAACACTTCGCATGCCAATAGGTCTTCCGTGTTCTGCAAACCGATCATTTGCAATGGACCTGGTAGTGGAGAAACGGTCCCTTAAGGCCAATAATCTTAGGCGGCGATCTTCACGGTCTGTTGTTCTACGGCGGCGTCCAGTGCCCCTTGCTCTTTGCGTACGGTCTTCTCGAAGCCATGCCTGACAACACCTAACCACAGTGTCTACACTTCTTTGCACTCTAACTGCAATTGCCCGAAAAGAAAGTCCAGCTTCCCGAAGTCCCACTATACGGCCCCTATCAAACTCACTAAGTTGACGAAATCGTACAGGTCTCCGTACTCTAGGCATCGTAACCGATCGTAAAGTATGTCAAGAACCAAAATCCGCCAACGTTGATTCTTCACTGCGGCTGAAATATTTATTTTTAGAGCGTTAGTGAATTAAAAAAAAGCAGTATAAAAACCGGAATGTCCAACTGATAAGGCTGAAATTTTTTTCACTTGTTATTTACAGTAAGATAAATACATTCACCAACTTTTATTAAAATAAAACCATTTAAACTGGGTGTTCGGATTTATATGTCATTTAGTATATTAGAAAAAGCTATGAACATTGAAATAAATGACTGTATTTTAGAATATGGGATTCTACCGGAAAACAGTGTGTATTTCGGAAAGGCCATAGTACGGCAAGTGCCCTCCTCGATCTTACTGGAAATATCGTCAGAGCGTGGGATCACCATTTAGATTCACCATTAGTTCTCTTGAACTTCACAAAGGCGTTCGATACAATAAATCACTCTCTTTTGATTGCTAAATGCGAGCACTATGGTTTCGATGATTCCTCACTGAGTTTAATACGCAGCTTTCTGATAATCAGATCCCAAAAGGTAGTCGTTGATTCAGAAGTTTTTGCAGAACGTCTGATTTCCTCAAATATCAGTTCTTGGACCACTTCTCTTTATTTTGTATGTAGCAGATATAAACAGGGTTGTGCTATTCTGTAGTATTCCGTGTTTTGCTGATGACTCATAATTATATCATAGCTTCAATCATGAAAATTTAGAAATTTCGGAAGCACAAATAGTAGAGGACGTAAATTCTATTAAAAATTATGCAACAGAACATAGTTTCTGGTTGAATCCCTCTAAATCCAAAGTTATTGTTTTTTCTCCTAAAAATCTAAGGTCCCTTATTAAAAATAATTTGAACATTACTCTAAACGGCCATGCTATTCAAATCGAAGTATCAGTAAAAAACTTATATTTGTTTATGGATGATAATCTCAAATTTATTTCTTATGTAAATCATGTCACTAAAAATTGTTTTACTGTTTTATGCATCTGTACTATAAAGAATTTGAGATTTAGATTTTAGATCCAAACAAAATTTATGTGAATCTTTAATAATATCAAAAATCACATATTGTGATTTGGGATACTATAGTTGTAGTCACCATTCTTGGCGGTTACGTCATCAACGTCACATGAAACAAGTAAACAGATCGAGTCTCCGTACCATGGGCGGAACACTGCGCAGACTAATCTTCAGCGTATCTGCTACTCTCTCCAGTACGCATGAAGAGGGTAACAGGGGTCCGCTGTTTTCATTCTCTTCCTGGAAATACTCTAATAAATTTAGCAGGAGCTGTCGGCCTTCTCCATTGATCGTATTTTCCGGCATTGTACAATTTTATATTCAATATTGAGAACAGGACAACTCGAATTGCACGCCAATATCAAGTAAGTTGTCACTATGATAAATATGATTGAAGGGCACTCATACGTAACGACAAAGTTTTCGAGATGGAGACACACAACTGAAAGACTCATGTATTTGAGCTTACCGAACAAACGTTCACATACAGGGGTAGGTTTCATGTGTATGTATGAGGGTGATGAAAATATATAAACAGATACTGGTAGTCTTGCTTTGACCCGCC